CAATATATATTTATTGCAAAAAAAAAAAAAAAGAGTAAGCGAATGAAAATCCTTTGTACCTTCCCTGGGTCCCACCAATCACCAGCTGCTGTATAGTGTGCAGACAATCATGAAGTTATTGATGTGTGATTAATCCTTCAGTTTATGTGGTCACACCTGTCTGCCTTCTTGCTCACCTGTGTGGGGGTAGGGTACTAAAGGAATAACCAACTGGAATTAGAGCAGCTGTCCTGGCCTCTCCCTTTGGGGGATGCCAGTTGTAAATGAAATCCCACTTTGCTTGGAATATTTCCTTGCAGGCTCAGACCCAGTCACAGCCCTCTTAATAGCTGTGCATTTCCACATCTCTTTGGCAGGGCACCTCTTAAAAACTACTCCCCTAGACCTCAAAAGAGCTTATATCCACCTCTCCCTAGTGAACATATGGCATTTATGTCACAGTGGTGTCTGTAGCTGGATATTGGAGAGAGTCCGAGAAAAACTCACGGTGCCTAGGTTTGGAGGAAAGATCCAATTCAACTAGAATACTTTTAGAGCTCATTAGAGGGTCACAAAATTCCCAGGCCTGCCAGGAGGAAATAAGGGATCAGATGAACCCTCCCAGGACCAGCCATCACTCAAATGGGAGAATAAATGGAGAGTGGGCTGTCCAACCCCCTGCTCATGCCCACTGTGATCCTGGATGTGAGTTGTTATGGCAATGGGTGACTGCAGGGTTTTATGTAATGTGGATAGGGTCTTCAATATTTGTCACCTGTAAACTTTTCAAAAATGTTCTCCTATCAGCTGAGCCTGTCCTGTGACATCACCCATTTCCCTACTATCACCTGCAAAGCAGGGTCAATGAAATTGTGAAGACTCTGTGAACCAGACCATCTGTCTTCTTGAGAAGCTCCAGGCTTTCAGAGTCACAGCTACCCTAGTGTCTGGGCATGGCGTCCTCATATGGCCCCACCTGGTCATCTTCTGGTATCCCTGTTCATTTCACCCTTTAATATCCCCTTTCTATGGCAGAGGTTTTTGGGTCTCCATGAGAGTAGGGGAGCTACTGTTGGAACCTGCTTCTCATGTCTCTGTGGGGTCATGGTTGGATCCAGACCTTGCGGGTAGAGGTCAAGGTTTAGGGGATCCCTCACCCTGTTGACCTCTTCAACCCATAGAATACATTCTTTGCAGCTCCCAGAGAGAGTTCTTGGTGAGAATAAGCCCAGGAACTGAGGGCAGAGCAGAGTCCATGGCCGGTACCTGATTCCAGACAGAAGCAGTACTCCAGGGGGCCAAGGGACTTGGAGGCATCACAGAGAATGGAGAAGCGTGTCAGCACAGTGCCCTCCTCTGGGGCAATCTCACAGGTGGGCACCTCGAGGAGAGGCAGAGTGCTGATCACGTAGGCGTCCTCCCCGTAGGCGTCCCTGGTCAGTGCTGAGGAGTGAAGACAGATGGCGTTTAGGGAGCTGCATTTAACAAGCTCCTCATTGTGCTTCAAGATCCCAGGGGAGCTTGTGAAACACAGATTCCTGAGCCCCTACTCCACGCCCAGAGCCCCAGACCCTTATGGAGATTTTGGGAAACCCCAAAATATTCATATCTAACAACTTGCCCTGACCCAGGGATCTCAGGGAGTAACTGGGCAGAGGTAGAGGAAGAGAATCAGTCAGATCTGAGCTGCAATTCCAGTTCTGCCAATTACCATCCATCCAAGGGGTCTTCAACTTGAACATGATCTTATTACAGGCAAGTTTGTCATCTGTAAAATGGGGTCAATAATAATTTCCTCACAGAGGTAGCATAACGAGGAAGACTACTGGGAAACAATGTCTTGCTCAAGCTCTCTGCGACAGCAAGGGTCAGAGCCAGGATTGAGATCAGGCTAATCCCAGAAGCCTGACTCTTTTTGAGGCCTCTCAGCACTGGGAAGAGCCCTCAGTTGACCTGTTTTCAAAAGACCAGTTTTCAAAAGGAGTATCTGCCTGCAAGAACTGGGAAAAGGAGAATTTTAATCAATTACAATTAATTCCACGGTCTAAATTCAATTTGGATGGCCTGGGTTGGACTCCAGAGTGTCCATTTAATGGGTACACCAGTTTCTCCCAGAGTGGGTGATCTATGAGCCACTTTAGAAAATACGGAATCAGAGACATTCTTCCTGAAAAGAATAATCAACAGATTTTTTTGTATTGTTTTGTTTTTGGGACTACATTTCCCACCCAGGGCTTGATCTAAATGAGCATCTCTGAACTCTCCTGACAGGACACTCAGGTTGCACGACCCCAGAACAACCTGCTCATCCCACTGGGGTCCTCCCATGCCACCTGCATGATAGCAATCCCGAGGCAGGCCCTTTTACCATCCCCAGCTTACTTGGGAGAAGACTGGGGCATGGAGAGGATAAATCCTTTGCCCAGTCTCCCGGGTAGAAAGACAGAATCCCACAGTGGTGGAATTCACTCTAGAGCCCCTGGCTACACTGAATGAAGCCCCATATTATGGTTTCTGGTTTGTCTTGGGTCCCTAACAGCCAGTGGAAGGGTAGTTCACACCTGTGGCTCGGATCCTGATGACCTCGCCCCAGGCCCGCAGGGAGCTGCTGTTGAGCGACAGGGTGGAGGTGTTGCTCTGGAGCAGGACTAGAGAACGCAGCCAGAATCCTCTGAGTCTGCAGGCAGCTGGGAGGGGCTCCACCTGAAAAAGAGCCATGCCCAGGGTCTCTGGGAGTCAGGCCACTGGGCCTCCCCAGGACAGTGGCATCTGACTCAGAAGGGGGGCTTTCGGGTTTCTGTCTGATGAGCGGAGGGCAGGCACTGCTGGCTTTCTGGAGGCTGCATAGCCTGTCTTCAGCCTTGTTAGGCTGCTTGTCTTAAGTCCCCTGGAAGTGGAGCCTGGAGGGGGGCTTGTGTAGTGAGGGAGACTCTCTGGGAAAACCAGCAGGGGAGGCAGGGAAGCAGACCAGGGCAGAGAAAGAAATGAGGAAAAGAAGAGGTTTGAGGGGCTGTCCAGCCTCGGCCTGGCCCCATGGGGAGTTCTGGAGCAGAAGGGACTGTAGAAACTGTCTGCTTTGGTCAAGGGGGTTGGGCTGTCAGATTCCCCACATGAGCCAGCTCTTGGCCAACAGGCACCGCCCAGCAGTTGGGGGATAGGTGCACCAGCCTGGAAGGGGACCTTGGCTGGGCACCACTATATCAGCCAAAGTGCCTCCTAGAGTCTTTTTTTCCCCATTCTATTTTGTTATATACGACAGCAGAATGCAATTCAATTCATATTACACAGATAGAGTACCATTTCTCATGTCTCTGGTTATACACAAAGTAGAGTCACATCATTTGTGTTTTCATACATGTACTTACGGTAATGATGTCTGTCTCATTGCACCATCTTTCCTACCCCCATGCCCCCTCCTTTCCCTCCCTCCCCTTTGCCCTATTTAAAGTTCATCTGTTCCTCCCATGCTGCCCCCAATCCCCATTATGAATCAGCATCTATATATCAGAGAAAACATTTGGCATTTGGTTTTTTGGGACTGGCTAACTTTAGTTAGCATTATATTCTCCAACTCCATCCATTTACATGCAAATGCCATGATTTTATTCTCTTTTAATACTGAGTAATATTCCACTGTGTATATATATATCACATTTTCTTTATCCTTTCATCTACTGAAGGGTATATAGGTTGGTTCCACAATTTAGCTATTGTGAATTGTGCTGCTATAAACATTAATATGGCTGCATCACTGTAATATGCTGTTTTTAAGACCTCTGGGTATAAACTGAGGAGTAGGATAGCTGGGTCAAATGGTGGTTCCATTCCCAGTTTTTCAAGAATCTCCATACTGCTTTCCAGATTGGCTGCACTAATTTGCAGTCCCACCAGCAATGTATGAATGTGCCTTTTCCCCCACATTCTCACCAACTCTTATTGTTGTTTGTATTCATAATAGCTGCCATTCTGACTAGAGTGAGATGAAATCTTAGAGTGGTTTTGGAAATCCATATGCAACAAATGAAATTAAGCCCCTATTTCTTACCTTGCACAAAACTCAACTCAAAGTGAATCAAGAACCTAGGAATTAAGGAATTAAACCAGAGACCCTACACCTAACAGAAGAAAAAGTAGGCCCAAATCTCCATCATGTCAGAAAGGCCCTGACTTCCTTAATAAGATTCCTTATAGCACAAGAATTAAAATCAAGAATCAATCAATGGGATAGATTCCAACTAAAAGGCTTCTTCTCAGCAAAAGAAACAATCAGTGAGGTGAATAGAGAGCCTACAGAATGGGAGCAAATTTTTACCACACACATATCAGATAGAGCACTAATCTCTAGGATATTTAAAAAAAACAAAACTCAAAAATCTTAACACCAAAAAAAAAACCCAAAACAAATAACCAAATCAATAAATGGGCCAAGGAACAGAACAGACATTTCTCAGAAGATGATATATAGTTAATCAACAAATATATGAAAAAATGTCAACATCTCCCACAGTCTTTGATCCTTTGCACCTACTCGGCCTGCTGACCAGTCCCTCCTGTGCCTCAGTGGCATGTCCTCCAGCCCTCCTGACCGCTGCACTGGCTCCGTGAGGAGCTCACCCACTTCTCAGTACTGGACATTCAACACAGGTCTGGTAAAAAAGGGAGATGGTTTCCTGTGAGTGGTTGTCAGCATCCTCACCTTATCTGGGGCAGGGTCATCTAAGTACCAGCTGAACATGGCCACTGAGGCATCGCCTCCCAAGGTGACCCTGAGCTCGAGGTCTTCGCCAGCAGTCACCAGGCGACAGTTCTTCTCACAGCTGAAAGGGAGAAAGAGGGCGAGGAAGCTCCCTGGGTGCGGCGGCCGTGGGATCTTCCCAAGTCCTTTGAGAAGGTGGGCAGTGGCCTTTTTCCAGATGAGACGTGGAGTAAAAGCCACGGCTGCCCACCTCTACCAAGGACAGCCTTGTTCTCGCCTGGAGGGCTCACGGCCTCACTGAACTTTCATTTTGTTCACTGCACAGAGTAAAGTCGTGGAAAGTACAGGCAGATGAACAGAACCCCGGGTTCAAGTCCCGTCCTTGCCACCTAGGAATGGCCACCTCACGCAAGTCACGAAACTCTCTCAGCCTCATCTGCCAAGTAAGGGGATAAGACCCATCAACTTCTGTGATTCTCCTTTTTAAAATTTATTTACTGTGTATGTAGTACTGGGATCGAACTCAAGGGTGCTGAACCTCTGAGCTATACCTCCAGCTGTTTTTTTATTTTTTATTTCAAGATAGGGTCTCACTGGGTTGCCCAGATTGACCTTGAACTTGCTGTCTTCCTGCCTCAGACTCCCAAGCAGCTGGGTTTACAGGCATGCATTATTGCAATTCTCTGAGTTCTAATAATAGGAAATAATGCTGTGGTTTCATAGCACATGTGCATGCATAAATCATGTTCCTGGGTGTTAGTGCGTCAGATTCTTAGGGCAGCCCTGTGGGTGACACTTCAGTATCCCCAGAGCACACACAGGCTCAGAGAACTGATGTCATTTTCCCAAGGTGACACACCTCCTAAGTAGGTGATGGAGCCCCCATGTCTTACCTGAACCCTGGGTCTTCTCTGTAATGCCCTACTCCCTCCCTGGAGCCCCTGAGAGGTCACTGGGGCGTCTGCTCTATCCAGTCCATCCCCTGGGTCTTCCAAATTTTAAAACCTCAAAAGTTCTTGACTCTTCCTACTCTTCCTTCTCTCTTGATGTATATTTTAGTACAGGATGGTCTCCTTTGGCCCCTCCAGACTGTCCTCCAGCTCTCTCTGGCTGTGACCCATTGACTGGCCTCAACAGGCTGTGATGCCCCAGCTCCTGCACCCTCAGGCTTCTGCTTGGGTCCCACCAATGGGAGCCCTGGTAGAGGACTGGTGGTGTGAGGAGAGAAGGTGAGGTTTGCATTCAGTGTTTTCCCTGCTCCTTCCTTGCAGGCTGCAGTTGGTGGCAGCTGTGTCTTGCTAGCAAAGCCCAGGGCTCCTGCTGGGAGGTCCTTCTACTGCCATAGTTCCCAGGAATCCCCACCCCACCCCATCTTAGCAGTTTTGGAGTGATGGATTCCTGTGCTGCATTGTAACCTTAGGTTGTTCCTTTAGCCCTGTCCAAACCTGTAGACAGAGTCTTCATCCATCAGTGGTTAGTCATGGTTAGAATAAGCTATTTTGTTGCTACAGGGACCAAGCTGCTAGGCCATGCTACCCTGAGCTCTTACCTTGACTCCAGCAACAGCAGGAGCAACCTCCCTGAGGGTTCCCATCCTCCAGCACCCATTCTCCACTCTGCTAGCAGAGTGTTTTGAAGCAAGATGAGACCATGTCTCTAACCGATCAGCACTCTTGGCTGGCATTCTCTACTGAACTACTAGGAAAGAGACCCAAACGTGGCATGACCTGCAAGGCCCTGCATGCTCTTCCAGCTCCTCTTGCCCCTCTCTCCTCCAATCTCAAGGATACTCTCCACTTTCACTTCCTGGCTGCTCTCTGTTCTCTCCCTTTGCCCTCTCTGTTTCCTCTCCAGCCCCCACTCTCTGGCCAAGTCACTTCCTCTTCCCCAGGCACACCTCTGCTAATCCCCAGCTCCTGCAGGAAGCCCTCTCTGACCCCCAGCTGGGGAAGCTGTCATGGATGTGTAGTCACTCCCTTCATTCCTTTGCTCCAATTGTTGCTGAAACCCTTACGAGAACAGTCAGGACAGTCTGCCCACCCTTGCCAGCCCCGCCCCTAAGTCAGGGCCAGCCCGGGGTTGGCTCTCGGTAAGTATTGACTGATGAATGAATGACAGCTCTGGAGGAACTTGCCCACCTGATTTGAGGTTTGAGGTTCAGGGGAGCAGAGACATAGAGACACTGCTCTGCCTTGTTCTCCAGCTCCTGGCCCCTCAGAACATCCAGGTGCAGGGTGACAGCAGAGTCTGGTGGTGGCAGGCAGGATGGTGGGACCACCAACTCCCTCTGGTCCATGTGGAGCAGCTGCTTCTCAACACAATTGCTCCACTGAGCCCAGCATCGCCCTGAGAGAGGTGAGCAAACACTGTCATCTGTCAGGAACACTGAACTTGGCACATGTGGCTACCTTCTAGTTGAGGACCCCTCACTACCCCCTCCAATGTGTTCATCAAGAGGCAGGCTCTGCTCAGTTACTTAAACCCTACACTTGTGTCCTCTGTATTCAAGTAATGAGAAGTAATAGAAAGTCACGACCATGTGGCATTATCAAAAACCTTGAACTTGTGCATGATTTTTGACCCTATTATTCCATTTTTAGAATAATAGGGTCATTTAGTTATAAAAACAACCACAGAGGTAAACAAAGATCAAACTATGAGGGTGCTCATTACAGTATTGTTTATACAGCAAACAATTGGTGGCAACCTAATTATCTAAAAAGATAGCACTTGTCCATGTGCCATCTTTTTGGATAATTGATCGCACATCAACTTGATGGTACATTGTATAGCCATTATGAAAATCATGATGGACAAGAAGACTTCATAACATTAGAATATGAAGAATATGTTGTTCAAGGAAGAAAACAAGGGTTGCAAAAGCAATGTGCATGCTATGAATGACATGCATCTTATTTCTAAAAGAGTGCACATGTAGCTAGGGTATGTCCCTATAAAAAGGAGGTCACTGATTCTGAAAAGTGGTGCTACCATCTTGGTTTGTCAACAAATGCCAACTCACACCCTTTCTAGACTCTCTGCAGTGACACATCTGGTGGGGTGGGAGTATTGCATCACTGACATTGTTAGAATTGCCTGTGCATGCTGGTAATAAAAAATGCACACAGGCTTTTATGAGTTTATTGTTGGTTTTAATTTTCTACATCCCCTTGTGGCCTGCATTCAGGATCACCCTCCACCCAATCTTGGTTGCCATGATTTCCCCATCTCCCATTTCCATGGAATTTGCAGTCTCTAGCATGTACACATTACATAAAATGTCAGGCTTAAGTAGTACTGTTGGTGTGAAAAGCAAGAAAACATCAAACTCTGACCTCAGGTCATGACTTATTAAGAAAGGACCACCCAAGGACTACCTACCACATGACCAATGGAAATGTAGATCCTTGTCATCATCTGGCCAGCTCAGAGTGACAGTTGTGAAAGGGTCTGCATACACACCAGGCTCAACATGCACCTCCATAGGCCCTTTGTCTCTCTGCAGAAGAAGCAGCCATGGTGAGACTCCCCATTCACAGGCTGTAGGGTGTGCTGCCAACCCACACCCACCTCTGAGCAATCTGTGCCAAGAGTGGCCAAAGTATAAACCTTAGAATGGAGAAAGACCCTAACCTATCCACTCAGGATCACTGGGTGAGTGACTTTGAGTGTGGGCTCAGGGTCTATCATGCATTCAGCTATACTGACACAGGCCTCTCTGGGCCAGGCCCTTCCTGGAGATACAAGAACAAAGATCCAGCCCTTGCCTTGAAGTTAAGTTAAAAAAGAAAAAAAAAAACCAGTCATACAAATGGACAAAACTTTGAGGAAGGGAGTCTAGGGAATCATGAGAGGTGGAGGAAAGAGGCAATAAGTTAAGAATGTAGCCCTTGGGGCTGGCCAAAGCTCAGATTGCCTCATTAGCCCATGACCTTCAGCCAGTTTCTAAGTCTCTGAGCATCTATTGCTCTGAGGGTTTGATAGCAACTGACCTGCAGGGCTGCTATGATTCAATCTAAAAAAAGCCAGTTGTTACCTCTATAAACTGGTCATTGGAGCCAGGGAACATTTCCCTGGAGGATAGGCTCCCAGAACACCCACAAGAGGGGGAGAGAGGGTGGGCTGGGCAATAATGGGGAGAATGTGGGTTCTAGGAAAAGGGCTTGACAGGTACTCAGAATGTTCTGGGAGCAAATTCTGATCGAACCTGTTGAACAGCTCAGGTGGTAGGGCCTCTTGTTCAAGCCTACAGATCTTAGCCTGGAATAGTATGAGATTACAGTAGAACTCAATCTTTAGTGGGTTCCCACAGCCTGAGAATAAAATCCAAATTTCTTACCTTAGCACCTTGCCTTCTGGCCTTCTGGCCTCTGTCCACCTCTGTCCACTTCTCCATGCCTTCTGGCCTCTGTCCACCTCTGTAATCCTAGTCCTTCTCCCACACCAGGCTCTAGCCACACTGGCTTCAGGCCATTTCCAGCTTCAGGGCCTTCTCATCCCACCCACTCAGCAAGCTCTTACTCTGTTTCCCAGCATGCTTCATATTTTCACATCACCCCTTGGGAGGCTCATCTGACCACATTTGCTAGACTACTCTGATATTTGTATCTCTGCACCCTGCTGGTTATTTGTAGACACTTAACACAATTCTTAATTTCTTAATTCTTCTATTTTGTTTGTCTCACTCAGTGAGCTTCATGAAGGCAGGGACCACCTCTGTTTATTCACCGTTACCTTCCCAGACACTAACACAAACCTTGAACATTGTAGGTACACGATAGGTCTTTGTTATTGAATTATGCACACATGAACAATATTAATAGCAAGGAGTTGAATACTCAATCTTGTCATAACAACTAAAGAATGTGGACTTGTTTTCTAACATAAACTAAAGCTATAAATTTTCCTCTAAGTACTGCTTTAGCTGTACCACACAAATTTGATTAGGTTTTATTGTCATTATCACTTAGTTAGAGATATATTCTGATTTCCTTTGTTGTTATATCTTTGGTCCAGTAATTTTTTATAGAAGAGTTGTATTTAATTTCTAAGATGTCTAAGAGATATCTATATATCCTAGTTAGCTTATTATTGATTTACAACATAGTTCTGTTGTGGTTAGAAAACATGGTTTGTTTGACTACAATCCTTTTGGGGCTTCTTTCAAATGGAAGAGGACTTTGGGATTCCCATGCTTTGGCTATTGGTACCAACAAACCCAAACTCAAAACTAACAGAGTGCTTGAATATCTTTTTCTTGTGAAGTTAAGTGTTTATAAAAGATACTCACATTCTTTCCTTTAACATTCATTCCAGTTCGTTCTTGAAGATTGGATGGGGCTGTAAGCACAATGGGAATGAGCATTAAGCTTTCAAAGAAAACCTCATATAAGATTCAAAAGGCAGAATCAGTCAGGCATGGTAGCACATGCCTGTGGTCTCAGCTTCTTGGGAGTCTAAAACAGGATCACAAGAGCCTAGGAGTTCA